AATTTTATAGATTCAAGTCTTGCAGTGCAATATCCATGCTTAATATACTGGTGTCTCTCTGACCACTGGGGAGTTATGCTTAACCCAGACACACTGTCATTTACTTCTCTGTAAAGACTTCTGCCCCCCAAATAAAAACTCTGCAATATGACACAAAATATTCTGTGTTAAACGATCAAATGAACCCAACATGGAGTCCAGCGTGGTTTCAGCATTCATGAGGGCACCGTCTCCTATTGTTTTTCATGGAAGTACCACAGGCCTGGCTGCTAGCATTCAGCTTTCCTTGGCCTTAAAAGGAATTTCTCAGGGCTGGCAAGTTGGATTAGATTCTAAAAGAATTTTGTCTTTGACAAACTATCATTTTTAGCATAAAATCTGGCCATGGCTATAAGTTTCAATGTGCATACAACTGAATAGAGATGGTTTCTTTCTTTTTCTTTTCAATATTGGCTGGAATTGAGTAGAAATAAGTCCATGATGTCTCTTCACGTGTGTCATGAAATATGAGAAATCTGTCTGACTCTAGACACTATTTCTTTACGACACAATGGGCAGGTCTCCAGCTGCAAGGCACAATCCATGCACAGGTCACTAAGGAGAAACACATAAAAGCCAGTCAAGTTAATGCTTGAAAGGTCAAACTCTACCTGCCAACTAAATCTAAAATATTAACAAGTAATTGAAAGGGTAACAATTATGTAAATAAGTAAAAAAAATGTAAATGTATAAATAAAAAATAAATCTTCCTCCCATTTCTGATCTTCAATCTTCTTCCTCTGAGGAACAAGTAAAAAGTTCATTTTCATTCTTTCAGATAGTTTATATATACACACAGGATATACGTACATAGTAGGTAGGGATAGATACAATGCTATTTTTCCCAGACAGCTAGCCCTTATCCCAGTACCATGTACCAAACAGTCTATCTTTTAGCACAGATTTGACTAAATCCTTTTATGGATTTAAATATATTAAATTTCCATTTTTAGTTAAACTCTATTTTTGGGTTTCTAGTCTGTCCTATTGTTATGCCTGTTTTTTTTTTTTTTTTTGTGACAGAGCCTCAAACTGT